TGCTCAAAGCAGGAGCTGCCCCCTGGTGGTCAGTGTGCTCCCACAGGGGGAGCACCACTCAGCCAGAAGCCGGGCTCACGGCTGGCAAGCCCAGCGGTGGTGGTGGGAGCCTCTCCTGCCTCCTCAGCAGCGCTAAGGATGTCCGACTGCAGCTTAGGTCTGTTCCCCACTGGCAAGTGGACATCCCCCAAGGGCTCCTGGGCTGTCAGAGAGATGTCTGCCAGCTTAGGCCCAATCCCCCAGGGAGCGAGCCTAAGCCAGCAGGTGGTCATTTCCCGAGGGGTCCCAGACTGCAAGAGGGCACGGGCCGGGCTGAGGGACCTCCCCTCCCCCCTAGTGCACAAATTTTTGTGCACCGGGCCTCTAGTAACAATATAATAAACTTAAACATAGCTACTTCCATAAGTAAATGTAAATTATCTAAACATTCTAATTAAAAGGCAGACGCTGCCCAGCCTGCCTGGCTCAGGGTTGAGTGTGGACTTATGAACCAAGAGGTCACGGTTCCATTCCTGGTCAAGGTATATACCTGGGTTGACAGCTCAATTCCCAGTGTGGGATATGCAGGAGGCAGCAGATCAATGATTCTCTCTCATCACTGATGTATCTCTCTCTCTCTTCTCTCTCTTCCTCTTTGAAATCAATAAAAGTATATATTTTTAAATCTAATCTAATAATAAACAAAGATTGAAATTGACCATACCTTTGCTATGTCTCCCATTGTCTAATCAGTGAGATATGCAAATTAACCACCAACAAAGACGGCGGCTAATGTGCATACTGCAGGCAGATCCTGCTGCACCGCCCCAGTGCGGATCCGGGCCTGCTGTGTCTTGGGCTGGGTAGGCAGGGCGGGCGGCAGCACAATCTGAGTGGCAGCTCGCCCCAAGGCAGGATCCTGGCCTGCCGTGTCTTGGGCGGGGTGGGCGGGGTGGGCAGGGCGAGCGGCAGCATGATCCGTGAGAGGGCACAAGTTGGGCTGAGGGACCCCCCTTCCCTGCCAGTGCACAAGTTTTGTGCTCGGGCCTTCTAGTTAATAAATAAAAGGCAGACATTGTCACATTAACTTAAAAAAAGCAAAACCAAACTATATGCTGTCTATAAGAAACTCTTTAAATATAAATATTTAAAAATAGGTTAAGAATAAAAGGATGGCCCTGGCTGGGTTGGTAGGTTGGTTGGAATGTCGTCTGGTACACCAAAAGGTTACAAGTTCAATTCCCAGTCAGGGCACATACCTAGGTTTTGGGTTTGATCCCAGTCCAGGCGCATATGGGAGGCAACTGATAGATGTTTCTCTCTCTTTCTTTCTGCCTTCCTCTCTCTCTCAAATCAATATCCTTGGGTGAGGATTTTAAAAAGTAAAAATAAAAATATCAAAGGGTGGAATAAGGTGTAGCATGCTAACACCAGTCAGTCAAAAGAAAGCAGGAGGGAGTATTTTTTTAAAAAATATGTTTATTGATTTCAGAGAGGAAGGGAGAAGGGGAGAGAGAAACATCAATTTTAAGAGAAAATCTTTGATTGGCTGTCTCTTGTGTGCCCAACTCTGGGGATCAAACCCGAAACCCAGGCATGTGCCCTGACTGAGCCATACCAGCCAGGCAGGAGGGAGTATTTTAATTTCAAAGTAGATTTCAGAGCAAGGAATAGAGAGGGTTATTTCATAATGAGAAAGAGATCAATGAATCAAGAGGACAGAATTATAAACATTTGTGCCCTTGATAATAGTGTCCAATTACAAGCAGCAAAACCTGATAGAACTACAAGGAGAAAAAGACAAATCCACAATTCTTATTAGAGCTTTCAATAAGTTTCTCTCAATAATTGATAGAACAACTAGACAGCAATCATCATCCAGGACATAGTGGAATGGAACACTATACCCAACAACAGCAGAATATACATTCTTTTCAAGTGCACACAATATTCTGAACCATAAAACAAGTCTTAAAAATTTTAAAGGATTCAAGTCATACAAAGTCTATTACCAGTCTCCAATAGAATTAAATTAAAAATCAATAAAAGAAAGGTATCTGGAAGTCTTCCAAATATCTGGAAACTAAATAGCATACTTCTCAATAATCCACTGACCAAAGAAAAAATCAAAAGAGAAATTATAAAGTATATTGAATTTAATAAAAGTCAAAACACAACATATCAGAATTTGTGAGATACTGTTAAAGCGGTGCTTGAGGAAATTTACAGCACACAGCACCTATAATAGAGAAGAAGAAAGGTCTGAAATCAATGACCTCCTTAACAAACTAGAAAAATAAAAATAAATCAAACCCAAAGTAAGGGGAAAAAGGAAACAAAGTCAGAACAGAGATCAATAAAATAGAAAGCCAAAGAAATGAGAAAAGTAATGAAGCCAACTGGGTTCTTTGACAGAAGATCAATGTTTATTGAGTGCCACCTATGGGTCAGGTTCTGTTCAGTCGCTGAGGATATGGCAGAAAACAACACACAAAAACCCCAGGTACAATCCCTCACTGGGGCTTTTCCAACATTGTTTTTTTTCTTTTGTTCTACCCTTTTACCGGGAATGCCCTCCCCAGATAATCTGCTTGTCTCATTATCCTCCTTTATTTTTCCCAAAGAACTTGCTTGGCATTCCATTTTTCTGTCTTTTTCATTTTTTGTCTTTCTTTTCTTTCTCTCTCTTACTTTGTGTCTTTCTGTGCCTTTTTCCTCTCTCCCTCTTTTTTTCTTCCTTAACAAATTTTCTCTTTGAATGTGAGATGTGAAGATTAGTGCTCAGAAGGTGGAACCTTAATCAAAGGTCAAGTAATTATTTCGGAAATCAAGGTTTAATGCCCATATATCAGGAGCGAAGAATCAAAAATCACAAATATTTGAGGAGGTTAGAGGTCAGGAGGTACCTGCCTGAGCTACTAATAAAGGTCTCAGGCTGGGGTCAGGAAGATCAAGTCTAGTTTTGGGATCACTGGAAAGGCATGTGGAATTCTGAGAACCAGTGTTCAATAAAGGTCAGAAATTATGGGTTAGGATCATTTGGGTAGGCAACTGGCTTTACAAAAGACTAGGACTTGTGGGTTAGAGGTCAGGAAGTCAAGCATCAGAAGTCAGATTTAGAAGCGAGGGCAGCCTAAGATTCACTCACGTGTCCCCATCCTCGGTTACGTAGCCAAAGACCAGGGGCGCCCACGACAGCCCCGGGCCCAGCTCCGCGCCCAATCCCGGTCCTCCGGGGGCTGCTGCATCTGGACCCAGAGAGCCCAGGCCACTGTCGCACCACTCGTCGGCATCCGCAGCTTTCCCCAAGCACGCGACCCCGGCCATGGCCCCCCAAGTCTCAGGGGCCCGGTGGCCCCGGGCCAGTCGCTGGGCTCTGCCTGGAGTTCTGGCGCTTCCGCCCTGCCGGGAATTCCCCAACACTCCCCCCTGATCCATCCAATCAGAGTAGGCCAAATCGCTCTCGCTCCGCCCCCATATCACTCCATGGCCAATCAGAGTTTTCATGTAGACTACGCTCTCTACCGGTTCCCACATTTTCCAGGCGCCCTTTATCAACATGGCTACCTATCAGCGCAGGGCACTTTGGGACTCGTAGTCAGGACCTCGCTTGTTTATTCTTTTTATTATTTTTGTTGTTGTTGTTGTTGTTGGTTGTTAATTCTTACCCAAGAATACTTTTCCATTGATTTTTAGAGAGAATGAAAGAGAGAGGGAAAGACAGAGAAGATAGCGATATGAGAGAAACACATTGATTGGTTGTCTCCTGCACAGGGCCTGGCTGGGGGAACTGCCCTTGACCGGAATAGAACCTGGGACCCTCCGGTCTGCAGGCCCAGGCTCTATCCACCGAACCAAACCGGCTAGGGCTCATTTGTTTATTCTTACCTAAAAGGGCGCGCCGGAGGTTGTGAGAAAGCCTGTATGCGGCCTCGCTGGCTGCTGGGAGTTGTAGTCCTCTGTCTTATCTCTGTCCCTACTGTTTCCGGTGCCGTCACGGGGCCGAGCAGTCGGTGACAGCCCCGAGGGCCCCCGCCCCACGCTCATGGCCGAGCCGGACCGTGAGTCGGGGCCTTGGTGGGAGGGTCGGGCAGGGTCACTCCGGGGCCTGCCTGAGATCTGCAGGCCCCGGGGCCGAGGGCGGGCGAGGTGGGGCAGGAGATAGGGGCTGTGTGGGGAGGAGTGGGGTTCTGGGAGCCGTTGCTAAGTTATCCCTATGGTTGGTGGGTTTCTGGGTCGCGAGCTTTTAAGGGTCCGTTTGCTTTGTCTTCCAAGTTTAGCAAAGAGGGACCTTGGTTGCCAAGGACCCTCTTTGCTAAAGACTTAGGTTGTTGCTGTCCCGGTTGCTAAGGGTACCTGGTTGTTAGGGGGGACTGTAAGATGCTAGGGGACTCCTGGTGTTCCCTCCTATCTCTTCCCTCTAGTTCCTGTGCCCCTCCTAAACAAACCATCCCCACCGCACCTCCTCTCACTTCCAGTCGGAGTATCTCTTACCTTTTCTCTTCCTTTCTAAACTTACCACTGTCTGTAAACCTAACCCTCCCCTAGCGCGCCCCCCCCACACACACACACACTATTATGTCCGTCCTGATTCCTCCTTGTGTCCTCCATGCCCTGAGTCCTTTACTTTCTCCTCCCTATACTAAGCCTTCATGTCTCAGCCCCTTTGTCCCTCACTAACCACCTCTCCTCCCAGCACTCTCCACTCTGCTTTTCCCCACCCTCTCCCTCTCTCTAGTGCATTTTTACCTCCACCCCCATACACCAGTACAACTAGTTTGGTGGGTCTTCTTGCCCCGGCCCCCTGCTTGAAGCCCTTCATAACTCCTTAACCATTCCCCCCACTGTAACCACATCTGCTCCCCCTCCTCCCCCAGCCTCTGACCCTCTGGAGACCCAGGCAGGGAAGGTGCAGGAGGCTCAGGTGAGATGGGGAAAGGGTGGAGGGAAGGAGAAAGATGGACTTGTTCCCAAACCCCACTCCCCGGGGGCGGGGGGGCGGGGAGACAGAAGGGAGAGTTACCCCAGGGCCCTCAGCTCACAGCCCCAGTCCCTCGCCCCCACCTCCCAGTTCAGCTTCCTGGGGAATAGTGGATTCTGAGGGCTATCGGAGTGTGCAGCCTCAACCCCAAGCCTGCCCTCCTGAACTTTTCTCTTTCCTTGCTCCCCACCCCCCAGTCCCTTCTGAACCTCATTTATGCTGCTCCTGGAAGAGACAGGCATTCAACTTGGTCCCTGAACTCATGGATCTCATGGACAAGTGACTAGAAAATGACCCTACAGGGTGATTATGAAAATAGCTCAGGGCATTGTGGGAGCCCAGAGGGAACTTTGCGGGGTCAGATATTCCAGTCAGTCCCTTCTCTGGAGGAATCCACAGGCTGGTCTAGGAGTCAGATTGAGGTAAACACATTTGCAGTATGTGACTAGTGACTGAAATTTCTTAGGCAGGGTGAGAAATGGTGTTCCACACAGAGGGTGCAGCTAGTACAGAGACCTGGGAGCCTGGAAGAGTATTATACGTTTAGTGGATGGTGACTGGGGGTGGGCAGCTAATTGTATGCATGGCCGACATTTATTGAATACTTCAGCGGGGCACTCTGCTTAGTGCTTTATGGGCATCATCTCATTTCATCTTCCCAGCATTCCTGGGGGAGTCAAGGCCTATTATGGCCATTTTACAGAAGAGGAATTTGAGGCATGGTTGTTAAGTATCCTGTTCTCTGTCTCTCAGCCAGAAGAGCTGGGAAGGGTTTGCAAGCCACAGCACGCTCACATTGCCTTCCAGATGCTTCGGTGAGAGCTAGACACAGAGGCCTGAAAGCCCTGAGAACACCTCTAGGTCCCACATGCTGGGCAGGGCCCTTGAGTCCTTCCACCGGAGCCTCACTGTCTGCAGCCTGAAAGAATGCCAGACTCCCACCCCCACCCCCAGCAGCTAAATTGCTGCAAGTTGTAGGCAGTGCAGGAGCTGTGATTAGAGCACCTCACAGGCACACGGCAGAGGAAACACCAGAGGAAATGCAAGCGGCAGAGGAAGCACAAGCGCTTCCTGTCAGGCCAGGGCTTCTCCCTCGCCTGGCTCCCAAAGTAGGGCCATTGTCAGAGAAAGGGGTTTAATGTTAAAAAGGATCCTCAGTCTCAGAGAGAGAGATCCGAGGGCTTAAATTACAGCATTGTCCATAATGGGGCAAAACTGGAAACAGCCCAAGTGACTCAGTAGACAGGTTAAGTGAACTATGGGGTCTCCTTACAATGCAACACTATGCAGCTGCTTAAAAGAATGAGGTGGGTCTGTAGTATCTTGTTCTGCAGAAGATGCAGGGTGCAGCATTGTGCTATGATATGACCAAGCTCTGAGAAAATGATGAGTTTCATATTCGGAGTGATAGGGGAAAGGGGTTTTTTGCAGGAGAGTGAGTTGGTCAGAATTGTTTTTACCAGTGCCACTGCAGGGCCCAGCCTGGTCTAGCACACAGGTCTTCCTCCGTTCAGTGGTGGATAGTGCTGGAGCTCCTGCCGGGTGCCAGACCCTATTCTCGGTGCTAGACATCCAGTAGTGAACATGAAAAACCCCTGCCTTGTGGAGCTGACGACATGGTGGACCTTGTAGATGTTGGTGATGAGATTATTAGACTGGAGACACCAAAGAGAAGGGCTTGTGAAGTGGAGGGGAGTGGGCCAGCCCAGACAGGCCATCACACGGAGGGTAGAGGGTAGATCAGAGGTGGAGACTGAGGCTGGGAGTCTAGTTAGGAGGCTGGGACAGAGCCCCCAAGGGAAGAGGACAGACTGAAGAGGGAACACATTATGGCAGGAGGGCAGGAGAGGAAGGATGGATGCATCTGGCAAACTGGGAGATGGAGGCCACACTGAGATGGGGCCCAGGAGGAGGAGCATGTTTGGGGAAGATGCTGAGGCCAGTGTGGGACACAGTGGGAGTGAGGAGCCTTGGGTCCCTTAAAGGCAGGCATCCCGGACGCCATGGGAACCTTGGATCAGAGAGGTGGCATCATCAGTGACTGGACCAAGGCCATTGGCATGAATGAGGCAGGTATCCCAGGCAAGGTGGAGAGAGAAAGCAGGCAGGGCCCAGGATCTGCAATTTGGGAGCCTGGCTAAGGGGAGGGGTCGATAAGGAAATGGAGGGTTGGAAAGGCAGTAACTGGGGTTTTCAGAAGGAGGGCTGATGACCAGAGGGTGAGGACTGAAGTGTTTTCACTGGCGTTATTACATTATTATGGAGTGACTTTGGTGAGGAGGGCTGGGAGGGGGGCGGCAGGTGCATGTTACAGAAGACAAGAAGGGATGCAAGGGGAGAATGTGGATTTGGCACATGAAATAGCAATAGTCAGAGCTTCCTGAGCACTTACCCCACTGGGTGCTGTCTAAGCTCCTCACATAGATGAACTCATTTCATCTCACAATAGCCCACTGAGGTAGCTGCCCTCTGACATCCATCTCCAAGATGAGGAGCTCTGAGACTCAGAAAAGCAAAGTCACTCATATGAGATTACACTCCTTGGGAGAGGCAGGCCGTGTCCCCAACGCAGGCACCCTGACCCAGAGCCCACACACTGGCCCCCAGAGCTGTCCCTCCACCACGGCCCCTCACTTCCTTGGGCCCACATCCCAGCCCAGAGCCTTTCCCAAAACCGGGGTGTCACCCCACCCCCCACTTCTAATCCCACTTCTTGGGCCTGGCCACCTTACCCCCACCCCTTTCAGGACTCAGATTCAGACACTGAGGGAGGAGCAGCTGGTGGAGAAGCAGAGAGTGAGTATCTTCCTTAGGAGCCTCGTTCTGCGGGGGCTGAGGTGGGAGGGCTTAGGGGAGGGGTCTGGGTGATACCCCTCACCTCCATCAGGGATGACATTCAGGTATGTAATAATGGGTGCAGTGCCAATGCCTGGCGCCCCCCGCCCCCCCGGCTGGATCCAGCATGGACCCTTGAGTTGTGGGAAGGCAGGGGGATCCCTGGGCTGGGGCAGGGTTGCTCTGGACCTCTGTGCACCCAGGCTGAGTGCCCACTACTGTCTCTCTTCTTTTTGGCCAGTGGACTTCCTGCGAAATTTATTCTCCCAGACGTTGGGCCTGGGCACCCAGAAGGAGCGTTTGCTGGACAACCTAACCCTGGAAGGGGTGGCCCACTACATGCTGAGTGAGCGCTGTAAGTCCTTCCCCACCTGCACTGGGTCACTCCCCCCTCCTGGCCCCAAGTGATTTCTCAGCCCCCGGCTACTTGAACTATTCACAACTGTTGTCTGCAAGTAACAAGAAACCCAATTCAAACTGGTTTATACCAAAAAAGGAGTCTGTTCAACCCTTAACTAAAATCCAGCTTGAAGCATGGCCTGGTTCAGGGGCTTCCATGTTGTCAAACATCGTAACCCTCTCTGGCGCCAGTTTCTTCTGTGTTGGGGGGAAGGTAGCTCCTGGCAGCTCCAAATACAAGTTCTACCAGCCTCACAGCTCCCACTGAAGAGAGCATCTTTCTCCCAAAAGATCAGAGATTGGCTTCAGTTGGTGCAGGTTGGGTCACGTTCTTACACCAAACTAATCACTGTGTCTCTGATTGGCCAGACCTGGGTCACATCTCCATTGCTGAACTAATGACTGCACTCTGATTAGCCAGGCCTGTTTGATAGAATGAAGATGATAATAGTATTTCCTTATAGAGTTATTAGGGGTTGAAAAAAAAGTTAATAAAAATGTAAATGCCTGGGCTAGGACATGGAGCATAGCAAGAACTGTGTGTTCCCTATGATTATTAATTATTACAGAAAGCTTCTTTCAGCTGTGGTGTGTAGGTGCCTCTTTACTGGGTCACCATGTAGTTTATATTTCTTGCTGTGAGTTGAGGTCACCCGAGTCTGAGAAACCAAGCCCTCAGCAGTTCTCAACTAGAACAATCAACCCTTTGAGGGTCCTGAACAGACCTTTGTTGAGGAGATCTTCTCCAGTTTCCTTGTCTTCCAGCTGCTGCCAGCTCCCTTCTCGGGTAGCCAGGCTGCCACCCTGAGCCTCCCTCTCCTGGGCAGGCCAGGCAGCTGGCTATAGCCAGCTACTGGCTCGGGTGGGTGGGTGGGCAGTGGCTACAGTGTTCCTCCATCTTCCTGCACCTGGATTTTAGGATAATGGGCCTATGAGGGGATAATAATAAATAATAACAATTAATTGAGTCCTCGCTATTTGCTGAGTGCTGAGCCAGGCACTTGACGGGCTTCCTCTCATTTGATTTTCACATCATTATACCTGGGAGGTCATTACAGGAGTAATCTGGACAGAGGAGGAAACTTAGGCACAGAGAGGCTGGGACTTGGTGCAGGGTTACACACTAGTTAGAGGCAGAGTCAAGACTCAACCCCAGCCCTATGAATCCAGAGCACAGGCTCCTTCCCCCCGTTGCCCTCCTTTGGACAGGATACACTAGAGGTGCCTGGTTCACAGGGCTTCACTTGTGTCTGTCCATCAGCTGATGGGCAGATGCCAGAGCTGCATGGCAGGGCTGCCTGCCAGCCAGCAGCAAAAGAGGCAACTGGGCTATTGTGAAATGATTCGACCCCTGCCGTCTTCCTATCTTCTGAAAGCTGGTAAATATAGGGGAACAAAGTGCTTTTGGTATACAAATCATGGGTCTCAAGAAATACAATTGACTCAAGAATAATAGCAAACATATACACAGTTGACCCTTGAACAACACAGGTTTGAAATGCATGGGTCCACATATCAGATTTTTCTCAATAAATACTATATATGTATTTCCTCTTCCTTATGATTTTCTTAATAATTTTCTTTTCTCTAGCATACTTTATTATAAGAATCCAGTATATAATGCATGTAGCATACAAATATATATTAATTGACTCTTTATGTTATAGGTAAGGATTCCAGTCAACAGAAGGCTGTTAGTAGTTAAGTTTTAGGGGAGTCAAAAGTTATACACGGATTTTCAACATGTTAGGGTGGGAGTGGGGTCATCTCTATTAAACCCCCACATTGTTCAAGGGTCAACTGTATAGTGTTTGCCCAGTGCTGGGCACAGATCTAAGTTTTACAAGAATAAATTCAGCCCTAGTCGGTTTGGCTCAGTGGATAGAGTGTCGGCCTGTGGACTGAAAGGTACCAGGTTCGATTCCGGCCAAGGGCACATGCCTGGATTGCAGGCTTGATCTCCAGTAAGGGCTGTGCAGAAGGCAGTCAATCAATGATTCTCTCTCATCATTGGTGTTTCTATCTCTTCCTCCCTCTCCCTTCCTCTCTTAAATCAATAAAGAAACATATTTTTTTTTTAAAAAAAGAATAAATTCATTCTCTCAACAGCCCTGTGAAGTCAGTACTGAAATTATGCCCATTTAACAGCAGGAAACTGAAGACAGAGTAGGGATCTGAACTGAGACGCCCTGATGGTGAGCAGGAGAACCAGGATTTGAATCTGTTATCCACTCTCCTGTTCATTAGGTCTGAGAGTGGCAAATCTTTGGTCTTCGCCTGAAAATTGCCAGACTAATGTGTGTTTGATTACAGAGAAAAGAAATGTGTATAATATGCTAGAAATAGGTGGATTCAGGATTGTGTCCAAAAGATGAGGTCCTGCCAGAGATTTTTACAATAACCAGTAACTCTTCTGGGGGAAACCCTCAACCCTAGCCTCCTCATTAAGACCTAGTTTTAGCCCTGACTGGTTTGGCTCAGCGGATAGAACATCAGCCTGCAGACTAAAGGGTCCCAGGTTTGATTCTGGTCGAGGGTACATGCCTGGGTTGCAGGCTCAATCCCCAGTAGGGGGTGTACAGAAGACAGCCAATCAATGATTCTCTCTCATCAATGATGCTTCTATCTCTCTCTCCCTCTCCCTTCCTTTCTGAAATATATATAATTTTTTTTTAAAGATCTAGTTTTATCTCACCCAGTTGGTGTGGTTCAGTGATTGACCATTGACCCATGAATCAGGAGGTCACCATTTGATTCCCGGTCAGGGTAGATGCCTGGGTTGCAGGCTCGATCCCAATGCAGTGATTCTCAACCTTCCTAATGCCACGACCCTTTAATACAGTTCCTCATGTTGTGGTGACCCCCAATTTCATTGTTACAAATTGAACATAAATTAAAGCATAGTGATTAATCACAAAAACAATATGTAATTATATATGTGTTTTCCAATGGTCTCAACCCTGTGAAAGCGGTTGAGAACCGCTGCAATAGGGGATGTGTAGGAAGCAACCAATGAATGTTTCTCATTGATGTTTCTATCTCTCTATCTTTCTCCCTTCCTCTCTCTAAAATCAATAAAAACATATATTTAGAAAAAATCTAGGTGTGTCTAGGTCTAGTTAGGGGCGGAAGCTTCTCTACAAGTGGCCTTTTCTCGACTAAGTTGGTATAATTTCAAACAGTAGATTCTTTGTCCCCATACTGGCTCTTCCACCAATCAACTGTGTGACTGCTTCCCCTCTCTGAGCCTTGGTTTCCTCATCTGTAAAGTGGGATATTAACACCACCTGCCTCGAGGTGGCTGGGAGGACCATTCATGCATCTGCAATGTTTGCCCCAGGGCCTGGGACCAAGTGAACAGTGTCAAGGGCTGTGATAGATGGTGTTATTTTGGGGCCAAGCAAACCATGTCATATGATGCATAAACTTTCTTCCAGGTCGCAGGGTCATTTGTTTGGTGGGAGCTGGAATCTCCACGTGTAAGTGCCCCCTCCCCCTGTTTTGGGGAAGCCCCTTCCAGGGGCGAGCGGGGAGAGAGGGAGCCATGTCTAGGCCCTCACTTGGAAGAGTCACTGTGGTATAGATGGGGCCCAGGTCCCTGATGGATTGCTCCCTGCCCCTCCTCCCCCAGCCGCGGGCATCCCTGACTTCCGCTCCCCATCCACCGGCCTCTATGCCAACCTGCAGAAGTACCATCTTCCCTATCCTGAGGCCATCTTTGAGATTGGCTACTTCAAGGTATGTGCAGGGAGGAATGTTTGCAATGATGGGAATAGGGGATGGAATGGGGTCATCTGCTCTCATGTCACCGGGGGCGTCTGGGTGCCCACCTGCCTTTCACTTTCTCTTCCACAGAAACATCCAGAGCCCTTCTTTGCCCTCGCCAAGGAACTCTATCCTGGGCAATTCAAGGTGAGCTTTTTCCCCCCCAATATATTTTATTGATTTTTTACAGAGAGGAAGGGAGAAGGAGAGAGAGTTAGAAACATCGATCAGCTGCCTCCTGAACACTCCCTAATGGGGATGTACCAAGGTACATGCCCTTGACCGGAATCAAACCTGGGACCTTTTAGTCCACAGGTTGACGCTCTATCCACTGAGCCAAATTGGTCAGGGCAAGTTGAGCTCTTTCTTGCCAGGGAGAACAGCAAAGGCTGGTGGACAGCAGGCATGGGAAGGGCCACTTGGACAAATATAAACTGGTCATTAAATACATGGGCTCTGGCTCCTGATCCCTCATTTCCCGCTCTTTTTTGTTGTTGTTAATTTTTACCTGAAGATATTTTTTTCCATTGACTTTTAGAGAGAGGAGAAGGGACGGGGAGAGACGGAGATAAACATTGATGTGAGAGAAACACATTGATTGGTTGCCTCTCACACAAGCCCTGACCAGGGCTGGGGATTGAGCCAGAAACTGAGGTATGTGCCCTTGACCTGAATTGAACCCGGGACCCTGCAGTCCACAGGCCAAGGCTCTATCCACTAAGCCAAACCAGCTAGGGCTCCCTGCTCTTTTGACCTTGAGCCTCAGTTTTTCCATTTGTAAAATGAAGCTGATAATATCATATGAAAAGGGTTGTTGTGAGGCTTAAATGAGTTAACAATATGTACAAAAGCCCAGTCTCTGGAGACAGGCTGCTTTTGTACAAACCCCAACTCTAAACTTGGCAGCTGTGCGACTTTGGCAAGATAATCAGCTTCCATGTGCTTCAGTTTCCTCATCTGTGAAATGGGGATAGGGATGGCCTGTGCCTCACAGGGTCGATGTGATGATTCCATGAGGTAAAACAGGCACAGTGCCCAGAACAGTGAGCGGCAGGTGGCGCTGTGGGGAGCCTTCTCTGTTCCTGTCATCATTGTTATGATTGCTCCTCTCCAGCCGACCCTGTGTCACTACTTCATCCGCCTGCTGAAGGAGAAAGGGCTGCTCCGGCGCTGCTATACGCAGGTAGGCAGGCCCGTGGGCATCCTGGGAGAGAGAGGGCGGCTGCCTGTGACCTGGTGCCTCAGCGGTAAGAGCTCGGGCCCCTGTGCTTTGTCCTGTGACCTGCAGTGAGCCATTTCCCCTCTCAGCCTCAGTTTGCCCTTCTGTAAAGCAGAGGCCAGAACAGCTACACATTCTCAGGCCTGTGGTGACATGGCAGTGAACTCCTCTTCTCTGAGCCATCCCACATGTACTGAGAAAGGACCTGGTGCCTTAGGGGAGGGGACACCATTTACACCGTAGATTTCATAGATTTTCCAGCAGATGATACCAGAATGACTGGATCTAACAAAATCCGTACACTATGTCAGTATCCTAATGGGCAGATGTAGTGTCTTAAGAAAGGGTCATCTTTTTATAATTTGCACAAAAGCCTCATATGTGGTATGCGTTCCTGGCTCATACATGTCAGGTGCTGAGCCTAGGGCCTCAGCCTGGGGTACTCAGGCAAAGATGGCTCACCTTGTTGGCTCCTGGACTTCTGGGATCTCACACCCCTAGCAGTAAAAAATGTTTATGCCTCTACCTTTGTTTTTTGGTTATGTATTGAAATTACATGATATCATGCATGCTATAAATTATACTCTACCTCAGAACCCCAAATTGTAAAATAGAGAACACATGAATATAAATAGGTATTCTACTATTTCCTTCCTGCACCTGGCAATTTGGAGCCCGCAGCCTCAGAAACTGCCACCAGGGGGAGGATGAATTCTTTGTAGGCCCAGATTTTTCAAATGGAGTGCAGGTGCTCCTGCCAGAGCTGGTAGTGTGATGGGGTAGGGGACAGTCACCTCCTAGGAGTAGCCCAGGCTCAAGATAAACCTGACCTTTCTTCCCAGAGGGGCAGCTTTATCCAGGATGTGGCTCAGGCATGATACAGTGGCTCATCTGAGCCAGTGCCCTCCGTGCATGATTTCATGGACTCCTCACCTTGCCCTTGCTGGCATCCCTGTTCGTTAGCTTCTGTCACAAAGGTTTACTGAGTATCAGCCGAGTGCCAGGCCCTGCTGGCAGCAAACAGAGCAGACTCCCTGCCCTGCTGAAGCTGACGTTAATGTGGGGAGAGACCATGGACAAGATGCCTAAGTAGCTTATGTGCTGTGGCAGGTGAGAGTTCTGTGGAGTAGGTTTAAGCAGAAAGGGATATCTGAACCTCTGTGTGTGGAGGGTGGAGTGTTGTTGTAATCAAGGTATCAGGAAGGCCTCACTGAGACATTTAAACAACGACCTAAGGGAAGGAACCATGAGATTATTTTGGGGGACTGCGTTCCAGGCAAGGGAACAGCCAGTGCAAGATCCTGCGGGAGACCGAATTTGATGTGTTCAAGAAGCTGGATCTAAGTAAGCGAAGAGGACAGTGGTAGGAGAGAATGGAGGAGATGAGGTCAGGGAGGTGACAGGGGCAGACCTTACGGGGCCTCAGGCCTGAGCAAGATGATGCCACAGGAGGGCTCTGAGCAAAGCAGGGATGAGATCAGGTGTCCCTCTGGCTGCCTGTAGGAGCTAGACCAGGGGTGGGCAAACTTTTTTACTCGAGGGCCACAATGGGTTCTTAAACTGGATCCGCGGGCCGGCACAAAAGCATGGATGGCGTGTTTGTGTGAACTAATATAAATTCAAAGTAAACGTCATTACATAAAAGGGTACGGGCTTTTTTTTTTTTTTTAGTTTATTCATTTCAAACATGCCGGATCCGGCCCGCGGGCCGTAGTTTGCCCACGGCTGAGCTAGTCTATGGGCGCAGAGACCAGGGAGGAGGCTGCTGTGATGGTTTAAGCAGGAGACGATGGAGGCTGGGCCAGGGTGGGGGCTGTCAAGGGGAGAAGGGGCAGGTTATGAATCCAGTTTAAAGCTTGAACCAGCAGGACTTGTTGATGGATTTGATGTGAAATGATTCATGAGAGAGAGGAGTCAAGGATGACTGGACAGCTCTCAGCCTGGGCACCTGCTGCTTTTTACTGAGATGGTGGGAGGTTGTGGGGGTGGGGGCTGAAGAGGAGTTTGCTTTGAGGCCTATTGAGGTTGAGATGCCACGTGGAGATGTGGACAGATGGTTGGACACAGGAGTCTAGACTCAAGCCAGAGGGGCAGCGTATAAACAATGTTTAAACTCACCAGACAGGATGAGATCACAGGGTTCCAGCATGAGAAGCCCAGGCCCAGGACAAAGTGCCCATCAGAGCTGCTCAGCGGGCTCACTTCCCAGCTCTGCAGAGGCAAACGTGCCTGCCCTTGACCGTGAAAGTATGGCAGCTGCCTCCTACTTTTACACGAGAGCCAACATGAACACATTCTGGGGTCAAAGGGTACTCTGCAGGCATTCCCCCTCCAGTTGCAATATTTAATGCATGAAATTTAACTATGTATAATATTCAAACTGGCATACTACCTAAAATAGATAAAGGTGGGGAAAAAATCTTTCCATTCTCACATTTCATGAAACCATTTTTTTCAAACTTAACACCCTCTTCCTTGATCTCAGCCACTATTTGAGTCACTGACCCAGTTTCCTGGAACACATTGTCTTCACTTCTTTCTGAATTGTGGTGACGCAGCAATTCTGACGCGACATATGCAGTTTTAATCTAAAGGCACAAGTATCCACTCAAATGTGAGAACAATTGCCCTGTTCACCTAAGTCACTTGATCATCACAGCAACACATTCTTTGAAATATTGGCATTTGCACTATACATAGGGTTTGGACTTGTCTTTCTTTCTTTTCAACCAACTTATTTGCCTGTTTATTTCTCTTTCTCTGGGCAGCTAAAAGAAGGAAATCCTTTGTCAGCACAATTCATTGGTCTCCCGCCTCAGCTCGCATTTTGGTAATGCACAGCCTTACTTGTGCATTATTTTTATTATAAGTATTTATTTAAGTCAAACATATGATGGAAGCAAGATCTCAAATGTTCCCTGAACTTAGCTTTCTTTCACCTCACCCCTTGTCTGAAAGACTCTTCCGTACCCTCACCCACATAGCAGCTTCATGCCTTTTAAAAGCTGTCAATGGCGATATGTCTAACAGGGACACAATGTTTTAAAACAAAACGGGAACCAAGGTTTAAAAATCAGATTTCAGGTGAAAACCCTAAAAATTGGGAAGCGCTGCATCCTGGGTGGCCTTCTCAGGGAGAATGGCTGGCTGGAGTTGAGTAGCCACTGCCCACTCTGGGAACTGCTCACACTTGCCCAGGGCACACCCCGCCATGGCCGGTTTCCTGCCGGCACCGGGGCCACTCGGCAGTTGCTGAGTATCATCTCAAGTTCAGTGCTTGTCCTTTGGGACAGAATCTCCTTGGGCCATATCGCCCAGCCCCCAGCTCCCCTCCCTGCAGGCCACTGATGTGGGCTCCTTCGCGTGTCTCATTCTGTGGCAAGCAGATACACAAATTCAAATATATTTTTTTCACATCCTGTACACACTGCCTTTGTGCTTTTTTGCCTTTTAACATAGTGGCGAGATCATTTCCTATCCGTACATACAGGTTGGCCTCATTCTTTGTTTTTGTTTCTTGATTCACATGGCGTCAAAGAATAACAGGCATTCAGGCAGTTCTACACGCTATTGAGTTATCTGCGCACACACTGCTTATGTACAAGGGAGTCAATAGTAGGCTGAATCAAGTAACAAAGGCAAACTAGGATTCCCAGGGGAGAGGGGGAGGGAGAAAGCTGCAGAGAATCTGGGAACAGTGACTCTTGTCTGCATGTTCTGGGGGTAAGCTGATTTCTGGCAGGGAGGGGAGAGTGCAGTTGGGGCCATCTGCCCTTGAAAGGACCCTTTCCGTTGTCCATGGCATCTCCAGGAAACCTTGTCGTTTCAGCGGTGGGCCACACGTGACGGGCCGTCCCTGTAACATCTGCCAGTGTCCTCGGTCGGCACCGGCCTCACGGGCAAACGAAAACTGCTCCAGAGAGGCTGCGTGTTGAGAGAAAAATGAGAGCACAAATGTGTATGTGGGAGAGAATATCCTTGTTTGGTGAATAAGGAAAGTTTCTTTGTCTTAAAGGAATACAGTTAAGATTCTATCGTGAAACAGACCTGTCAGAAACCTGGCTGCTAAATAGGGAAAGTGTGATTAAAACCACAAAGCCCCCCTGAGTTTTTTATTTCTACTGCTGCTTGGCCAGGGCTGCCGCACACCGCTGTGCAGTTTGGGTGCCACATCGGAGGGGGTCCTTTTACAATGGGAACATTGTACATCATTTCAACAGATTTCTAGTAGGCGGCACTAAAGTATGTGGTTCCGACAAAACAAATGATCTGAAAAATGGAAGCAAAGTGGCCTGAATTTGCAGAGAAATGCCGTATGGGCTGGTGGTGGCCATGGGCCTGGGCTCATACACCTTTGAGTTTGGACCCGTGCCTATGAGCATCCATGACTTTTACCCTTTCAGTGGCACCATAAGAATAAACAGAATTTTTTAGACACACCCTGCATTCTCTTCGCTACAACTCCCTGCTCCGTCTTCTGCTCCTGACCCTCTTTCCTCTCTCTCTCCCTCCAGAACATAGACACCCTGGAGCGAGTGGCAGGGCTGGAGCCTGAGGACTTAGTGGAGGCCCATGGCACCTTCTACACGTCCCACTGCATCAGCCCCCTCTGCCGGAAGGAGTATACACTCAGCTGGATGAAAGGTGAGGGGCTGGAGGTCATCCCTAAGGGCAGGCCTTCCGCCCACTGTCTGCTGCTCAGCTCCAGGGACAGGGCCTTCCCCAGTGGGCACCTGTTCTGCCCTGCACAGCTCTGTGGCTCTTTTTAGTAGATAATGGCAGCCTCCAAAGATTTGACGTGACAGTGAGGTTCATTGCTCCACCACTACCTCACAGCCAGGTTATGATGGCTGCAAGCTCCAGATCCAGGTCAGCTGCACACAGAGAGAGGTAGCAGAGGCCCCCAAATGGTTATACAGCCTCTTTCATGATGTCATGAAACCCTAGCTCTTTGCCCTTTGAGGGGCTCTGACCTTAGTGTACCTGCTGTGCTCATCAAGGCAGCTGGAACTAAGTTCTCAGGAGAGCAGAGCTGTCCGATAGAGCTTTCTGAGATGAGGGAAACCTCCCATCTCTGCACTGTCCGGTATGGCAGCCGCTGGCTTCACTGAAATGTGGCTAGTGGGACCAAGGAACTCAATTTTAAATGTAAAAAGCCATATCTGCTATGATGACCATATGGGACAGCACTTGTACGAGAAACACATGACTCAGTTAGCCCATGAATTCAAGCGAGCAGAATCTATGGAGTGTGAAGCCAAACACAGGCCTGGTCAGGGTTGAAGGCTGGGGCTGCCCCTAGGGGTGCAGACTACAGGGCTTGCTAAGTCATAGACCCCATTTATGTTAGGGCAGAGTGTCCAAAAACAGGGGGGAAATTTTTCAGCCAACCCACATTTCTTGAATACAGCAAGAGCCTATTTCTGACATCCACTGTGTGAATTAAGAAGTCACTTACGAAGAAATGAATGTGAGGTGTGAGGAATCATGGGAGCTAAGAATGAAGAAAAGGCAAAAAAAAAAAAAAAAGAAGAAGTCACTTATTTCACCCATGAAAACCCATTTCTGACATTCTTTATGCTAACTTCACAAAGCCTCTGGTGTCCATAGGAGATAAGGACACTTGTATTAGGGCCTCTGGATAAGATACCAGCTGACCATCCTTCGAGTGAGGAGGCCTGAACAGCCCAGCTACGCGCAGCTGGGGATGATGTACAGTTAACATTACCCCATTATGTTCACTTACAGCAATATCTCATGCAGCACCCACAAAATAGGATACTGTCAATGCAGAAATGTTTTAAAATAAATGACAGACATTAAAACACTTCTCTATTTGTCAAAGAAATGAATGGTTGAATGAATGAGCTAGGATTCTATGGATTGCAAGTGACAGAATGCTTTTCAAGTTTTCTTAATCAATAAGCAATAAGGAGACAGACCAGTGTGGCTCAGTGGTGAGTGGCGACCTATGAACCCAGAGGTTGCTGGCTCGATTCCCAGCCAGGGCACATGCCTGCGTTGTGAGCTCAATCCCCACTGCGAGGTGTGCAGGAGGCAACTAATCAATGATTCTCTCTCATCATTGATGCTTCTGTGTCTCTCCCCCTCCCTCTCTGAAATCAATAAAAATATACTAAAAATAATAATAATAAGCAATCAGGAGCATGATAGTCACGGTATGGCGTGTGGGGGTGTCAGGCACAGAACCCAAGTCTGCCTAAAGGTTTCTCCCCATCCCAGGATCATCTGTGTATTCTTCCCTCTCGTTCTGCCACAGGCCTGGAACCCCCAGGCCTCTCTGACCCAGGAGGAAATAGGGCTGCCCTCAAAGACCCACAGACAGAACTTCACTCTTGACTCCAGTTTCCCCAGGTTGGGAGTTGGGGAGTCCAGTGGCCCCTGTTAGCAGCAAGTGTCTGCTCATTTGTTGACTCTCATTCAGTAGCTAAGCCTGTTGCTGGGAGCCACCCTTGGACTCCTGGGGCATGGGGGAGGACAGGGGCGGTTCTCTGAGAAGGGGGTCCCTTCTGAGCAGGGCAGATACCCAGGAGGGTCCCTGGTGACCGAGGTGTGTTTGCGTGGACAGTGAAGAAAGGGGCAGGGGAGGCGGCAGGGCAGGCTGCAGCCCCAGCCCAGAGCCTCTCACCTCCTTCTCCCCTTCCCTTTCTCCACACCCAGAGAAGATCTTCTCCGAGGTGACGCCCAAGTGTGAGAACTGTCAGAGCGTGGTGAAGCCTGGTGAGCCTTGGGGCCAGGGACCAACCGAGGGAGATTTGGACTGCCCCAAATGTAATGCCGACTTGGAAGCACCCCACCCCACTAACCCCTTCCCCCGAAGGCCACAGTCGCCATCCACCCACCTCTGGTCACCTTCTCTCCAGGGAGAGGGCTCTGTACCCTGGCCTGTCCCTGCTGCTCGGCACCCCCCACCCAGCCCTGAGGTCTGCTCCTTCCTGTACTCTGCCTCCCCTTGTTCACTGTCTTTTTCTGTCCTGTGTTGTCTGTCTGTCCATCCGTTTCCACCTCAGATATCGTGTTCTTTGGTGAGAACCTCCCAGCGCGTTTCTTCTCCTGCATTCAGTCAGTAAGTGTCTCCATCACCGCTCTGTGCTCAGCCCATGTGGGGACAGCCTGGACCCTGCCCTGGGGAGGGTCACTTCCTCAGCTAGCTGTTTGTGGGCTTGCAGTGGGGACTGGGGTGGGGAGGGAGGGGCTCAGCCTCAGCTGAGGGTGGGGCCCTCATGGCCATGGCCGCTCCCCCTTCACAGGACTTCCTGAACGTGGACCTGCTCATCATCATGGGCACCTCCCTGCAGGTGCAGCCCTTTGCATCCCTCATCGGCAAGTAGGTTGGGGTTTGGGCTCGGGGGTGCTGGGGATAGGGGAGCCAGGACAGGTCCTCACTACTCAGCTCGCCATCCTCCCAGGGCACCTCTCTCTACCCCACGCCTGCTCATCAACAAGGAAAAATCTGGCCAGGTGAGTTGGCTTTTATTCACATCTTCTCGTTCTTCCCTGCCTGCTTGATCCTCACATGGGTCCCCATTTCTTCCCACTGGCTGCTCGGAATGATGGGATGGGTCTCTAGGGAACCCAATAGTTCAGACTCCTCAGCTCCGGACCAGGGATTCCAGAATCCAGAAGGATCAAGTTCTGGGCTGCCCTGACTCTAAAATTCCACAGGCTCTGGGTCATTCAGAGCCCTTTTGAGCAAGTGACATAACCCCAACTCAAAGCAACTGAAGCCAAAACACTTCCTGGGACTGAAGAGTCAGGGCAGCGGGAGCCGGGGCCTTCTCAGTGTCATCAGGGTCACCAGGGGCTTCCTCTTGGAGAGTAATGTTTCTTCCAACAGACAAAACATGCCATGTGCCAGACGCTGCTGTAAGCGTTTTCCCTGGGTTAACCCACTGACAGTACAACCCTCGGTGTGAGTTCGATGATCATCCCCACTACAGATAAGGAAACTGAGATTCCGAGAGGCCAGGTCACTTAAGCGAAGTCACAGAGCTGGGGTGCAAACCCAGTGCTCTTATCTCTCCCCATACCCCCTCTTCGCTGCAGACTGACCCCTTCCTGGGAATGATGATGGGCCTTGGGGGAGGCATGGACTTTGACTCCAAGAAGGCCTACAGGTAAGGCCTGGATCTGCTGTGGGGAATGGAGCCTGCGAGGGACAGGTCCAAGGTGGGCGTGGGGAGGGGGGGGCATGAAGGCACACAAACAGGGCAGAGCTAGCAGGGGCCTGGGGCAAGCCTGGGAGATCTGATTCTCACTCAACCACAGGGATGTGGCCTGGCTGGGTGACTGTGACCAGGGCTGCCTGGCTCTTGCTGACCTCCTCGGATGGAAGGTGAGGAGCCTGGGCCACCCCAGCCCTCCCTGAGCCCAGTCTCTGGACCCCTGCCCCATGGGTCCTCTGACCCCATGAGGCATGGTGACCTCTGACCCCTGGAAACATTGTCCCCTGCAGAAGGAGCTAGAAGACCTTGTCCGGAAGGAGCATGCCAGCATTGATGCTCAGTCAGCGTTGGGGAGCCCCAACCCCACCACTTCAGCTTCCCCCAGGAAGTCCCCACCTGCCCCCAAGGAGGAGGCCAGGACCACGGAGGGGGAGAAACCCCAGTGACACCTGCGCCTCCCAGGCAGGATACCCAGTTCCTTTGGGGCAGTTGAGCCCCAACCAGCCCTGGTCCTCCCTAACTTTGCAGCTTTTGTCTGGGGAGCTCAGAGCATTCCCTCAGTCTCATAACCACCCCCTCCTAAAACGGGTCCCAGCCCCCCTGACCCTGGCAGATCTCTAACATCCCCTGGGGGCTGAGGCATGAGCCACCCATCTCTAACAGCCGGAGCCTCTAGCCACCCCAGGGGCAAGGATCAACCTTCCCTAATGCCTAACTGCTCCCGGGAGACCAAGGAGCCTCCAAATTTCTAACTGTCCCAGGACAGAGCCATAGAGCCCACATACTTTCAACTGCTCCCAGGGGCCTGTGGCCAAGTAGACAAAATTTAACCTACCCTGCAGGACTGGAGGCCCTCCAAACATAACTCATCAAATGGGGGGATTTGAGCCTGCAGACCTCCCACCTCTCTGCCTTCAATTCCTAAGGTGGGTGCTGGGCTGCCTTCACTCAGGACCCAATTCCCATGCGGAATGAGCAGATGATGTTGCCTATTGGAGACAAATTAAAAACAAAAAACTAACCATCAGCTGTCTGGCCTCGCTGTTCCTTTCTGTGGGCTCGCAGGGAAGCAGCTGAGGGAGGGGGTGAGAGCTTGGGCCACTTAAGGAAACCAAGACATCTACAGGCTCTTGTGAGAAATAGAACAAGGGGTGCCAGAGAGGCTCCTACTCCTGCCTTCCCATCATCGGGATCCTTCTTCCAAAGCCCTCTTATCTGAGGCCTAAGGCCCCAGAAAGAGGCAAGAAGTCAATTTCAGATCCCCCCCAGC